CTGAGAAGAGAAATGAATTGACTAAAATGACCTCAAAGGATCAAAATGTAAGCCTGCATCTCCTGACTCCCTGTTTGGTATGCCTTACGCACTAAGCTCATGAAGGTCACTGGATTCTCCTGGTGATTTCTGAGGGTTCTGGTGAGGGTTGGGGAGGGGATAAATGTTTAATTTAAAGCAGAGTATATGGTGCTTGTAAGGTGCTCTGGTATCATAGTCCACAAGGATTTTCACAGTTAACCCAGGGGCCATTTCTCTCTGGTGGTTCAAATCCACCAACTACTCCTCAGGAGAAAGATGAATAATCTCTGGTGCAATCTACAACCTCAGAAATCCAATGGAGGGTGGGCTATGAGTCATTTCCAACTAGATGACGACGAGTGAGTGAAAGTTTGCAATGTTCAGATGTGAATCATCGGTTCAAAATGTATTTATGAGTGCTTACTATGAGACAGTTATTGTGTGTGTCAAGTGCTATGTTGTTATGGTGGTTAGATGCTTTTGAGTTGAGTACTACTTATAGAGACCATATGAACAACAGATCTGAATCATGTCTTATCCTATGCCATCCTCATCGTCTCTGACACTCTGGAGCCTATTTGCAGTCAGTGTCAATCCATCTAGTTGAGAAACTTCCACTTTTTTGGCAAACTTTCACTTTTCCAAGCATAAGGTCCATCCCCAAGGAATAGCCTCTCTTTGCAACATGCCCAAATTATGTGAGATAAAGCTTTGCCATCTTTGTTTCCAAAGAGCACTCTGGTTGCACTTTCTCCAAGACATCTATTTCCTCTTTTCGCAGTCTGTAGGATAGTCAGTACACTTCTGCAACAGCACAGCTCAAAAGCATCAATTCTTCTTCTGTCCTCTTTATTCATTGTCCAGCTCTCAGCAGCATAACAAGTGTTTGAAAAGACAATTGCTTAAATCAGGCACACCTTGGTCTTCAAACTGACATCATTGTTCCTCAATAATTTGGAGAGGTCCTCAACTGTAGACTTTGCCAGTGCCATATGTCTCCTGATCTCCTGACTGCTAGTATCAAAGGTATTTATTGTGAATCTAAGCAAGATAAAGTAATTGACAGTTTCAATCTTTTTCTACACATCTATTATTGGTAGAGGAATGCCTATCAATCCAGGGTTGTGTCCTTTCTCCATACATATTCAATTTGTATACTGAGCAAATAATTAATGAAGCTGGCTATATGAAGAGGAGTGTGGCATCTGTATTAGAGGAAGACTCATCAACTATCTGTGTTATGGTGTTGAAATAACTTTACTTCATGAAAGTGAGGAGAATATGAAACACTTGCCACAGAAGATCAAGAACTACAATCTTCACTATGGATTAAATCTCTACGTCAAGATGATCCTCACCACAGATCCAACAATCAACATTATGATATAGCAATATGATTGCTTGGATCAACAATTAACATCCTTGGTACCAGCAGTCAGGAAATTGGGAGATGTATTGCATTGGGCATGTCTGAAGAGCAATGATGTCAGTTTGAAGAGTAAAGTGCACCTGGTTCAGGCAGTGATCTTTAAACCACCTGCTATGCATCAAAGTAATGAATCAGAGAGAAAGAATAAGGATGACAGGAGAAGAATTGGTACCTTTGAGTTGTGGTTCTGGAGAAGAGTACTGAGCATCTCATGGACTGCCAAAAGAACAAACAAATATATATGTCCTGGAAAAGGTGTGGCCAGAATGTTCCTTGGAGGTAAGGATGACGTTTAATCTTTAATACTATTGACCATAGCTAGATGAAGCTATCCATTGAAAAGGGACAGTCTTCTTGGAAATATTGAGGGTCAGAGAAAAAGGGGAACCCTCAATGAAATGGATTGACACTGTGACTTCAGTAATGACCTCTAGTGTCTCAAAAATAATGAGGATAGTACAGGATAGAGCAAATTTCAGGTTGGCTGTTCATAGGGTCACAATGAGTCCTACTCAGCTCAACAATCAGTCCAGTGGTGAGAGGTTTTTTGTCTTGACATTGAATAATACATATTGAAGACCATAGCTTTTGATCTTCAGGAAGTACTTCAAATTCTCTTCACTTTCAGAAAACAAGGTTGTGCTATAAAGTGCTATAGTAGAACAATAAGCCAATTTGATCCCATTTCTCCCTCCAAAACATTTAAGATATGGTAGAGCTCATATAAAAGAGTTCTGGTGTTAGGGTGGCTAAGAGCTTGGCTGTTAACTGAACATTCAGTGCTTTGAACCACCAAGTGCTTAATGGAAGAAATACTAAAAAAAAAAAGCAAATAGGAAAAAAGAAGCAAATTACTTTTACAGAGAATACTTCAATATGGGTTGAGGCTCAATATCAAGAAGACAAAGATTCTCACCACTGGGCCAATTGGCAACATCAGGATGGATGTGAAGAGACTGAGATTGTTCACCGCTTTAGTTTGCTTGCATCCACAGTGAACACTCTCAGCACCAGCAGCCAGGAAATGAAAAGACGTTTTGTGATGGGAAAGTCTGCTGTTAGGGACCTCTCCAAAGTACTGAAGAGCAATGGTGTCTCTCTGGAGACTACGGTGTGTCTGATACAGGCCATGATCTTTGCTATTACTTGCTATGCATCAGAGAGTTGGACAATGACGAGGGAGGATAGAAGGACAATTGATGCCTTTGAGCTGTGGTGCTGGAGAAGAGCATTGAATATACCATGAACTGTTAAGAAGACAGGTTCAACCTGGAGAGGGCTAAACCAGGCTGCTCCTTGGAGGCAAGGATTCTGAAGCTTTGTCTGACATACTTTGGACATGTTGCAAGGAGGGAACAGTCCTTGGAAAAGGACATCATGCTTGAGAGGGTAGAGGGACAGCACAGGAAAGAAAGACCCTCTATGTGGTGGATTGATTAAGTGATTGGGATAATCAGAGTAACTGTGTCAGAGACAGTGAGAATGGCACAGGATAGAGAAGGATTTAAGGCTGTTGTACATAGGGTCGCTATGAGTCACAGGTGACTCAACGGCGCATAACAACAACAACAACAGTCTTAGAAACGCTATGAAGCATCTCTCTCCTTTAAAATTAGTGTGAGTCAGCATCGCTTCTGTGGTAACTTATCTGATTTTTTTTAAAAAAAACCAAATAAAAAGTCACATAAATTTGTTTAATACAAGGCAGACCTATGTAAATTTGTAAGATAATTTTTATAAGATGAATGACTTTGACAATTTACTAGTGTCTTCTCTCTACCATAAATTCCATAGTTTAGAACTTATGAGCTCAATCTTTGGGTTACCTTTCCCCTAAATTTGAATCCCACTTATGCTTTTCCTACATTGAATGGGTGACATAGGCAGGCTATTAATCAGTCTGGACCTCAGCTGATCTGTCTTTTTATTAGTATGAGATAGGTAAAGTGCCTCCTAGGATGGAATTAAACTAATTTAGGAGAAGAAAAAATGGTAGGATAGCTAGGAAAATTAGGACAGAAAGAAGAAAAAAAATGGAAGGAGAGAGAGAAAAAGAAGAAGGAGTAGTGTGGGATATCAGTTTGTTTTATTGAGTGAAGTAGGTCTTGTTGGCTTGAAGGTTGTCATTTGAAGTAGGTTTTAAAGATGCCATACAGATTAACTGTGTCTAATGAAATGATGTATTAAATTTCAAATGCTATTTTATTGTAAGAGATGTTTGAAATTTGTAAGAATTAAACGCTAATTTAAAATTATAAGTGCGTAAGTAATAAAGTATTCTTTTTTAATTTTTTAAAATTTTTATTAATTTTAATGAACATTTAGAAACTTTGATTTCCTTTCATTCATTGCTGCATTTCCCTCCCTGCCTACCCCTTCCTGCCCAGTTCGCTCTTCTCTTTGAAAAGTAAAAGAAAAATTCTTTCATTGTTATACAGTCACACCTCCCCCACCCCCACTCCCAGTCCCCTTCAGTATGCAGCCTTAAGTAAGAGAGTATTCTTAAGTTTAGGGCACTGATCATCAACTTTCAGCCTGTAGGCTAAAGATGACTACAAACATGGCTTTCTCAATACTTCAGATTATTTATAATATTTCCAAATCAAGAGATTTTCATAAATATTGACATGAATAAGAATTCCAAATGTAGAAAGTCCTCTAAAAGGACTCCCGAAAGAGTGTCTGAGATCAGGTTTTCTGCCAAATTGCAGAGGCAAACTCAGACATATTTTATTTAAAATAATAAAGTTACATAACATTTTGGCTTATGAGCAAAAAATATTGATCTCTTCTTTTTTTTTTTCTTTTGCAAGTACTGTTGGAGGTTAAGTGAGACATTGTTGGTTAAAAGAAAGATAAGAATTCTAGATATGTTCCAGGTATGGTAAATAGTTGAAAGAATCTAAATTAAGGGTAACGATGAAGAGTAAAATAAAGAGGAAATACAGAGTTAGGGTGTAGTCATGGTGTATTTCACATTATATATCTTGAATGTCAAAATGAGAGGTGTCTACTAAATTTTCCCTTCTATTTATATGTGTATAGTTATTTATTTCTATAATCAAGAAATAAAAGAAAATATAATCATAATTCCATAAAAAAAACCACTTTTATAAAAAGTTTCCCTTAGGGACTTATTGATATTTATCATTATCTCTAAAGGATTTCCAAAATACATCTGTTAAAGAAATGCACTGTGAAGAATCATGGAGTCCTTAAATATTTCTCAGTTAAATAGTGTTAAAAGACAAAAAGAAATAGAATTATATTGAAAATAGTGTTTTGCTTACTCAGAGCTTCTATTTGTTATTAAGAGATTCTATATTTGTTATTAATCAAGCCCCATAACAGCCTAGAGGTCAGTAAAATTCTGTCTGCTCTGAAGCCAACTGGGATTCAGACTCTCAAGTTCCAAGGGCAACACAAGGTGGAGCTAAAACCCATGTCTTGTGGATGCAGGTCCACACTGTAACATCTCCCAATCACCAGTGTGGTTGATTCCGTCTTGGTGTACTGGATTCTATTGGCATCAGTAGGTTACCATTACAGTATGGATAAAGAAGGACAGGCTGAACCAGTATCCAATAGATTTACCAGGAAGAAACAAAGTGAGCAGCGACGTGGATTTGGAGAGTGCAAGCCCTCTCTCCTAGGAGGACTAAATGGAACATATCTGAGAGATGTAGACAAGTAGAAAGGAAATTATGCCTGTTTACTATGATCTACCTATGAAGTTCTGCAAGAAGTAGGGCAGGTTCCACACTCTCTGCATAGGTCAGAAAAACAGAAATTTAAAAATTAGAAAAAAAGACTTGCTTAGAATCTCCTAGAAAGGTTCGTTGTTGTTATGTGCCATCAAGTTGACTCTAACTCGTAGTGACCTTATGTACAAAAGCTCTGAACCTTGTTCTTTCTTGAACCAATTTCATCATATCTGACACACCTACTCCTGTTACCCCAATCACTAAGTCAATACATCTCATCCAGAGTCTCCTTCTCTTACACTGTCCCACCAGTCTTCCAAGCATTATGTCCTTCTCCAAGGACTGGTGACCCCTGGCAACATGCCCAAAGTATGTCAGATTGAGTTTAAAAATCTTTGCTTCCAAGGAGCAGCCTGGTTTCACTCTCTCTGGGACTGACCTGTTTGCTTTCCTAGCAGTCCATGGTATTTTCAATACTCTTCTCCAATACCACAATTCAAAAGCATTAAGTTTTCTTCTGTCATCCTTAGACATTGTCCAGCTTTCTGATGCTTAGCAAGTAATTGCAAAGACAGTGGCCTGGATCAGATACACTTTAGTCTCTAGAATGACATCATTGCTCTTTAGTACTTTGGAGAGATCTCTGACGGCAGATTTTTCCCAATACAACTCATCTTTTTTATTTCCTGGCTGCTAGTACCAAGAATGTTGATTGTGGAGTCAAGCAAGCTGAAGCTGTTAACAATCTAAATCTCTTCATCATCTGTCACAATACTGCCAATCAGTTCAGTGATCAGTATTTTTTTTTCTTGATGTTGAGCTTCAATCCATATTTAAGGCTGTAGTCCTTGACCTTCTGCAGCAAATGTCTCAGATTCTCCTCAGTTTCAGCAAGCAAAGTTTTAAAGTTGATTATTATAAACTACAATACTGAAAGCAAAGACTCAGAGACTTGTATATTCATGTTCATTGCAGCACTCTTCACAATAGACAAAAGGCAGAAACAACCAAAATGTCTATCAATTGATGGAAAGATAAAATGTGGTCTATGTACAAGTGAATACTACTCAATGAGTAGAAGACATGAAGTCTAGATATATGATGCAATATAATTGGAGCTTGACAACATTTTGTGGAATGAAATGAGTCCTTTATAAAAAGGTGAGTATTATATGGCCTCACTCATACAAAGAGACAAGAAAAGGTAAGTGTGTAGAAATCACTAGCTGTCACCAGAAATGGAAGAGAAGAAATGTCAGTAGTTATTACATTTGCCAACTGCAGAAAAAGGTATTGTACATTCTTATTTAAATATTACAACCTTTATCAATAAACAAATATATAGGGAAATTGTGATACATTTACAGAAAGTAATATGCAGCCCTAAGGAATAGCAATTCCAAAAAATTTTATAAAACTTGGGAGAGACTAGAAAGCATTATGCTGAATGAAATATCTTGGTCACATAAGGATAAATCTTACATAAGGTACTATTGTGATAATAGGAGAGTAACTGAGCAAATATGTAGAAATATTCAAAAGAGGAAGCAGAAGTGGATAAAGAGGGACAGGAAAAAGGGGGAAGGGAGAAAATCCCTAGGAAAGCAGGGGGTTGGTGGCTGGAAGGGGTTGAAGGATTAGAAAATGTTTGATGGGGACTTGAGATGGGGTGATAATAGGCATAGAGCAATGAAAATTAAGTGTATAAAATACGCATATGAATGATTACATAAAAAGCAAGGTACATGGATTAAACACAACAAATATGAATGATTGTATAAAACACCAACTACATGTACAAACCATAGTGTATATGAATGATTGTAGTTTTAAAAAAAGTCTTGGTGTGAAAAAAAATATTACAGCTTTGAAAATTCTGTGAGACAACTTTGCTTTGTGCATAACCCTACAGAATTGAATGAATATTATGAGAGGGACAGACTCTGGGGTAGCAAGGGGCTTGTAGGTTCGAGACTAAAATCTTTCAGTGGGCTGCTAAGCATGTAACCCACAGCACCACCAGGTCTCCTTGATGATCCTCTGTTGTGTATGGTACAAAATCAAAAAATCAGATATATTATCTTCCAGGTGTCTCAGATCTGCCTTGCAGATGAATCTACCTTGAAAAATCCAGGTTTGAGCTGGGAATTATACAGCCTACAGTATGTAGAATATGGGGCTAAAAGAGCTCAACACAAAACTAAGCCTTACCCACATTCCCCAGTTCTGTTTGCTGACGGTTATCATGAGAAGTCTCCCAGTTCAGGAGGTAAGAATTCATCAGAGACCCAAAAGCCATTTTAAATTAACAATTTGATCCATAAATACTTTTTTTTCCAACAGGCTTTCAAATCCTTGCAGAAAAACCAATCTCTGGCATTTTAGACTGTGCCCTAGGTCAGGGAGAAATAATAACTATTAGATTTTTATTGTTATAAAACTGGCAGGAAATTTGGGTTCATGGCTGAGCTTCTGTAGCTTGCCTAAGAGCGCTGAAAATAGGACTAGCTGGCAGAGAATGTCATCTGCTGTGTTTGAGATTAAAACAAAAGCCAGATGGGCCCCAAAGACAGAAGAGGTGGGGCAGATGGGAAGTGCCCACCATGGCTATATAAAAAGCAGGATGAGAATATTGCTTGCATCTTATCTTTTCGAACCAAAACGAGCTTAAGAAATAGTCATCTTGAAATGAGGTGGGTAGAGTCAGCATGACAGCTGACTAAGTGGTGTGACTTTGGGGGTGCTGGGAAGTTCCTAAATGGTTTCACTTCTGGGAAGTCCTGGAGTCTGAAAAACATGTCTACAGATTTCAGACAGCTGATAGGTTATAATCAAAGCACAAAGGATACCATAAAACTTTACTGGCTGTGATAATAACTAAGCAAATCCATTTAGATTGGTTGTAGAAAACCTTAAAGAGTTCATATAGGAAGCAATTCCCCATTTTCAACACCTTTATCGCTGACTCATTTTATAGATGTGGACAAAAGAGATATGAGGACACTAGAGACTTACTACTCTGGCCCCTGCTCTCCACCTATCTCCCCCAAATTAAACTAGCTGTCATCATCTCAATTCTGATTAGAACCATATGCCTTTGGGATTGCAGCACAGCTTCTTACCACTTAGACCTCCAGAGCTCGTGTACTATAAAGTACAATTAGTCTATAGCATTTTCTTGATTGCAGTTTCTATGGAAGCAGGCATGTTTCATTCTTTCATGGTGCTGATTGGTGGGTTTGAACACCCCTTCTTTAGGTTAGTAAAGGAGTGCAAACTGTTTGCAAAGGGACCATGTCTAAGCCAAAGAGATTGACATTTCCTGTTGACTACTCTTACGCTTTGGAGTGAGGAGTGTGACCAGTTCAAGATCACCCAAAAAGTAAGGAACTTACATATTTAGATATTAGAGTTACTTTATATATTATAAAGTTGGGAACATACATTGTCACTGAGTAATTGCTGAAGGAAGATGAAAAATTTAAATTCACAAATACCGGGATTCTCCCTTCCTAAATAGAATTTACAATGTCTTCTAAGACTCTCCCCACACCCACATCCTTGCTGGTTCTTAAGCAGTATCCACAGCCTCAGGTAGAGTGGGAGGCAGTGAGCTGCCCATGCCATCTGTGCTGCTAGGATGCCCTGATATTTCCACCCAACATTCCTCCACATCCCATCTCCACCCCGCTATTTTTTCCCCTTGCTTGTTTAGAAAAATCAGCAACACTGTTTGATCTTATCCCTCTCCATCCCTTCACTGCACATGCAAACACACATTTCTCCCTTGAGTTAGTTTGTCAAATCTTTTGTTATTTACCCTTTAGCGTCACAAATAAGTCTGGTCTTGCCAACATTAAGCACATTGCAGCATTATTTATGTAGCAGCAATTGCTTCCTGCATCTGTGATTATAACCTAGGGGAAAGAACTGGCGCACAGGCTGGTCTTTCAAGTGTTCCCTTTTTTGCTTAAGTCATTAATGTTCCAACATTCGGTGCAGGTTTTCTGCCATGGCTTTTAGCTGCTAAACTAATGTTACATTAAAGTGATAAACGATGCCATAAAAATGAAGAACATCAGCAGAGGTATTAATGTGAGGTGCCCTTTAAAGGGATTTAGCCCGTGTATGTTTGAATGTATTTGTTATGAGATTCTCTGAGCATTTTAGTAATACACCCGTTTTAAATCCTTGCATCCTGATGTTGTCTATTTAAACAATGTCAGGTCTACTCTCCTTACATAGGCAGTAAAGATAAATCTTCTCATTAAATGAAGCTTGGTGAGTTCTATCCAGAGAGAAGCCCCTGGTAGACAAATGATTCAAAGGCTCCTCTGAACTCATTACGATTCATTTGGCTCCTGTCTTTCTCTTCCTGATCTCTTCCTTTCATAAGAACCACTCTGCTTTCTTATCCCAAATGGGTCAAGAGCTACTCTGACATCCCACCGCGCACAGGTGGTTTGACAAAAGATAGTGTCTTCACCACTTAAAAACTCTGCTATTGTGCCTTCTCCCCTGGGTGGGAATGTTTTAAGTTAACATTCCATTGTTTCAGGCCACTTGGGAGTTAATGAAGAAAAAGTTCAAGCATGTTTCCAGTTATATCCTAGGCACATTTATTTTATTTTACTTGTTACTCTTGTGAGATGCTTTTAAAGTTCTCCCACAACTTGCTCCCCAAAAGCTAGCTCTTGGAGTCATTGCCTCATAAGACATAGGTGTTAATGTTGGCTATCAAGATAATTACATTTCCATTAACTAGAATTCTGACGTCGAATTATTCCATGTCACCTTTGGTGACTACATCTTTTTACCATCATGCCTTTAATCTTATATCACTATCCATGCTCCTTCACAAACACTCAGAAAATACTTTTGATCAAGGATGACGTCGGTACAAGAGGCATCATAGCAAGGAGAAGAAACTTTAATTACTCTGTAGTGCTATCAATTTGGTTTTGCAGGGAGTTGCTCTTTTAAAGAAAATGTATTTCCTTTCTAGGTTAAGGCAATTAGAAGTTTTGCACTTTTGCTATTACACAGAGCCTTCAAAAGTACATCTGAGCTTAGCTGCTCAGCCTTTTATTTGCAATAAAGATGTACATTGGTGCAAAGGAAAGTGAAGACTCAAAAGGATACAGGAAATTCAATCTCAAAATACCTTGAGAGATTTATCTCAGTCTTTTATGTTAAAATTAATTTCCTTGAATTTGTAAAGTTTTCTGTCATTCTCTGTCTCATTTTCCTATTAGCGCTGATTCCCCACTTGATGGCAGTCTAATAGGTCATATGTTGTTTTGAGCATGTTCAGAAAAGAAGGTTGATCTTTAAAATCAAAGTTTAAAAGTAATCAAATATAACAATTGAATGTACAATGCTGTTAGTGGCTAATTAGTAAAATTATTATTGTTGTTGTTAGGTGCTGTCAAGTGGAGTATGACTCAGAGTGACCCTATCAACAACAGATGTACCAACAACTTTGTCCCATCCTGTGCCATTCTCACAATCTCTGATACACGAAAGCCCATTGCTGCAGTCAGTCCATCCTATTGAGGGTCTTCCTCTCCTTTGCCATCCTTCTACCTTTTTGTCCCTCTCCAAGGTCTAACCTCTCCTAGCAAAACTCCCACAGTACGTGAGAGAGGCTTCCTCATCATTGCCTCCAAGGCGCATTCTGGTTGCACCTTGTATTAATGATTCCAAATAGAAAACCCTATGTAATAATGACTTCTCAGCCTGCCATAATAAATTACCACAGACTTGGATGAATGAGAATGAGAAATGACTCTGACATTTCTAAAGACCAGAAGTCTGGAGTCAAACTGTGAGCAGGACCTTGCTCTCATATTCCTTTCAGGAAGAATCCTTTTTCCTGCCTGCTTCTCTCAACTTTTTGTAGCTCGAGGTGTTCCTTGATGTGTAGTGGCATAATTTCAATCTTTGCCCCTTGTCTTCACATGGATTAATCCTTGGTTTATCTCTTTTAAAGACATTTACCATTCGGTTCAGGGCCCACTCAGATAAACCAGAATCTTAAACCCCTTAATTATACCTGCAAAGACTTTCTTCTCAAATGAATCCACCTTCATATATTCCGAGAGTCAGGACAAGGATATATCCTTTGGGAATACGTCCTACAAGCTTAAAAGCAGGAATACAACAGACACCCTGCAATCTAAACGATCATTTTCATTTCCCTGTTATTCATCCGCCAGTAAAATCACTTATTTCCTATTATCTAGAATGAAAGTAGGTCTCTCTTCCAAGTAAAGTTTCATTACACAATTCTATTTCATTTTCTTCTTCTTTCCTTTCTCCCTTTCTATTTCTTAAAAGTATCACACTAGTTTCCATGACATTGTGTTTCGTACAATCATTCTCATACATTATATTTTATAAACTCAATCACGATTGGACCTTGTCCATAATTACTCTGTCTTTTCACCCGGATGTGAAAACCAATAAAAATATTAAAAAGCAAAACAAACTAACTAACCCAACAAACAAAAAGTATATTAGGATCAAACAGGGCTATTAAAGTCCAATAGATTTTCACTCATGACAACCCATGTGCTTCCACATACTACTCCAGACGGCTTTCCTGGCTAGGATTTTCAGAGAAGCAGATTATTGGGCCTTTCCTTCTCAGGACCATTGAATGAGGTCAAATCTCAAATCTGTCATTAACACTATGCTCAACTCCCTTGGATTAGGCCACACATATACAGGGAATAAAAAGACTTAAAAGATGTAGAGGACTCGTATAAAAATTCTTTACTATATCACTGGACATCTTCTCCATTAATTAATCATTTATCTCCCACCTAGAATATTCCAACAGCATACTTCTTGGTTTTCCTACTTCTCTGCATTTGTATTATAAAATAAGTTGCTGTTATTATGCAAATTTTCTACTAAATAAAATTTAAAAGGGAACTCTGGTGGCCTTGTGACAAGAAGCTGCACTGGAATCCTGAAGGCACAAATTTTGAATCTACCAGTTGCTGTGCAAGAGAAGTAGGGGCTGTCACCTCCCTTGCAATTAACTTGCTCTGAAAAATCCACGGAAGAGTCAGCTATGATGATGGGTCAGTCCAGCTCTACAATAAACAATAGCAATAACATTTAAAAATACCAAAGTTTCTTCTGGTTAAGAAAGTTTAGAGAAATCTTAAAAATACTTTCTTATATTAGATTTGCAAGAGAAGGATGGGCAATTTAGATTTTAAGACACTGTCACAGTCTGATAAAATAGATTATAAAGGACACTCATCCCTTCCTTTTCAGGCCCCGTTGGTGATGATCTGACCACTAGAGATTAACATGTATTTTTTTTCCATTTCCTGTGCAGTTTATTCAAACTCAAGGTGGCTTATTGGTATCAGAGTAGAAGTATATGCTTCGCAAGATTTTCAATAGCTTATTTTAAACAAATCCCCTGGTCTTTCTTATAAGGCATGTCTGATTGAATTGTAACTTTTGAGTTTTCAGTTAGCAGTCAGTTATATTAATCTTCAAATCACCCAGGAAATCCATTGTTAAATTTTAGACTGAAGTCTAATCCATTTCTGTTGAGTACGTTTTGATTCCAGACAATGCCATGTGTGACAAAGTAAAACTTCTCCAGAGGCTTGTATTCCCCATGCCCCTCGCCCCCATGGCCCAGCAATCTTAATGGAACTGGATTGTTAAAATTTTTCTCCATGGTATATTTCTTAGTGTGTTAAGACTGTTGTTGTTGTTGATTGCCTTTGAGTCGAGCATGACTCAGAGCGACCTTATGAACGAAAGGCCGGAAGCCCCTCTGTAACTATTGACATTTATCAAAGTTCCTAGAGTTTCTGGAGTATTGTAGTTGTTGTTGTTGTGCCATTGAGTTGGTTTCAATTCATAATATCCCTATTACAACAGAATGAGTCACTGCTCAGTCCTGCGCCATCTTCACTGTACTTGAGCTTTTGGTTATAACCATTGGGTCAGCCCATCTCAGTATGGCCTTCCTCCTCTTCCCAGTCCCTCTCCTTTACTGAATACGCTGTCTTTTGCTCAAGATGTGTCCTGCCCTAAAACAGACCTAAACTATATGAGACAAAAATCTCACCATCTTTGTCTCTAAGAAACATTCTTGTAGAATTTCTTCGAAGACGAATTACTTTTCCCTTTTAACAGCCCATGAGATATTCAGAATTTTAAACTAATATCACAATTCAAGGACATAAATTCTTTGGTTCTTCTTTCTTAATTGTCCAATTTTC